GCCTGCCGGGCTGGGCGGGCCTCCACTGCAACGAGAGCTGCCCGCAGGACACGCACGGGCCTGGCTGCCAGGAGCACTGCCTCTGCCTGCACGGTGGCGTCTGCCTGCCCGACAGCGGCCTCTGCCGGTGCGCGCCCGGCTACACGGTGAGGCGCGCCTCTCCGCGCGGGGCAGGGGAGAGAGGCCGGGGATTCCCCCGGCCCCTCTCACTAGTGCTCCCACCCGCTTTCAGGGCCGGCACTGCGCTAGCCTCTGCCCCCCTGACACTTATGGAGTCAACTGCTCTGCACGCTGCTCCTGTGAAAATGCCATCGCCTGCTCGCCCGTCGACGGCACCTGCGTCTGCAAGGAAGGTAATGGGGTGGGGTCTCCGGGAAGGGCGATTTGGGGGCGGGGCCATGGGAAGAAGGGAAAGGCCAAGGGCAGAGGCAGGCCCAAGGTAGGGGAGAGGCTGCGGGGTCAGGGCGGAGCCACTGGGCAGCAGCTGGATGGCGGGAAAGTAGCCAAGCTACTTCCTTCCTGAAATATTCACTTTGCTTTTCTTCAACCATAAAAATCCCACTCGCCCGTAAAGGCCCAGCCAGACGCATCTCTTGGCTGAAACATTCCTCATCCTCAGTCATATAGAATAACACAACGGCAGTGCCAGGAAGGGCCTCAGAGCTACCAGGGATGGCACCTTGGCAACCTTTAGGCTAGATTCTGACACATGCAGATCTGTTTTGTTTGACTAGTTTTCTATCATATATAACAAACGTCCAGTTTTCAGTCCTGGCTCCTCCCTGTTGTCTTATCCCTGAGCCGGAGAACACATTTAGTTACCTGATGGGGCATTTGTGTTTGCTGCTAACCCCATTCATTTTGCAGAAGAGATAATCAAGAACCAGAAGGGGTGGTGCATCCCCAGGAACCATTCAGCCTTCTGTCCAACATCTAACAGTTTATATGCTTGTCTCCTAAGGGGCCATGAGCACCCCCACCACCAGCTCAGAGCTTGGAGCCTGGCACAGCCAAAGAACAGTGTGTGCTTGCTCAAGGAGGGAGCTTGCAGGCTGACCTGCAGGTCCCCTCTTCCAGGTTGGCAGCGTGGTAACTGCTCTGTGCCCTGCCCACCTGGAACCTGGGGCTTCGGTTGCAATGCCAGCTGCCAGTGTGCCCACGAGGCAGCCTGCAGCCCCCAAACTGGAGCCTGTACCTGTACTCCTGGGTGGCACGGGACCCACTGCCAGCTCCCCTGCCCAGTAAGTGCACACTGCCTGCTGATCTGGGGGAGGGGAGGGCAAGGTACCCCCCAGCGGACTCACCTGTCCTGCCCTCCACTCCTTCTCCAAGAAGGGGCAGTTTGGTGAAGGCTGTGCCAGTCACTGTGACTGTGACCATTCTGATGGCTGCGACCCTGTTCATGGACGCTGCCAGTGCCAGGCTGGCTGGATGGGTGAGCATTCTGGGTGTCCAGGGGGGCTTACTGGGAGTTGGGGGCTGCATCCCACAGGAAATGGGTCCAGAAGAACCCCTATGGAAGGAGGAGCACAGGCCAGGCTCATCCTACCCATCTCTCTCACAGGTACCCGCTGCCACCTGCCCTGCCCTGAGGGCCTCTGGGGAGCCAGCTGTAGCAACACCTGCACCTGCAAGAATGGGGGCACCTGCAGCCGTGAGAATGGCAGTTGTGTGTGTGCACCTGGATTCCGAGGCCCCTCCTGCCAGAAATGTGAGGCTCTTTCCTCTCCCCCCACCTGCCAGCAAGAGTGTTCAGTGCAGTCAGTGTCTGGTGCCAGAAGTCCCCACTCTACCCATCTTGGTCTCTTGTGCTGAATCCATTTTTGGGCCAGTTACCGCAGTGGGAAGGAGGGAGGGAGACAGTGGGGGGTCAAAGGCTGACTGAGGGTTGGCCCCTGCCCCCAGTCACCATGAGCCCCTTCCCCCTAGCCTGTCAGCCCGGCCGCTATGGCAAACGCTGTGTGCCCTGCAAGTGTGCCAACCACTCCTCCTGCCATCCCTCGAATGGGACCTGCTACTGCCTGGCTGGCTGGACAGGCTCTGACTGCTCCCAACGTACGTGGTGGCTTGTGTGTCTAAGCACGTGCGCATGCCCAGGGGGTGGGCTGAGGGCCAGAGGCGTCCTTTCCCCTGCTCCTGGGTATTTTTATACAAAACCTCTGAACCCACCTCAAGTCAGCCATTTATGTAAGCAATATAAACAAATACTTATTGGGAATCGCCTACATCTTGGGTACTGTTCTAGGTGTCAGGATGCAGCAATGAACAGGCCAGGAAAAAAAATCCCCTCCCCTTCTCCATGGGAGACCTGAAAGGAGCAGCGTTTGTTGGGGGGTGGGGCGCGGGGAGAGAAGGAACCCTAAGTTCAGTTTTGGACATGTTCTTTTCTTTTCTTTCACGTGGCCAATTTATTTTTGTTTATTTATACATGGCCTCTTTCCCACATAAATATAAGAAAATCATGGAAAAGATTAGTCGTAAAACATTTCCCCCTTGGAAAGGGGAAATGAGAAGCTGTTACCATGAAAAAGGTGGGCAGGGTAGAAGGAAGTGATCCTGGAGAAGAGTTTTTCCATAGATTCAGTTCACTACTGTTAGATTATTCGCTAGTGTCAGGTACACAAAAATTATGCCTTAAGTAGTTTGGATATTCACTTCTCTCTTACGTTTTAAAAAAAAGTCCAGAGCTAAGCAATGTAGTGCAGTTTGGAAGCCTTTGGTTGTCCGGCCCTGGCCAGGTTACTCTGAAAGGCTGTTAGATAGCCAAGTGCAGAAGTTAAGCGGGCAGCTGGGCACATGGGTCTGGAATTCAGGCCAGAGACAGGGCTGCCGATGAGTGATTGTGAGTCATCAGTGTGTACTTATGGTTCAAGGCCTTGGTGTCCCTGGGGAGACCAGAGCTAAGTGGAAGATTTCAGTGATACTGGGGGCTGAGAATTTACCCAGGAGGGGCTGGTTCTGCCTGCTAGGCAGGCTCCAACCTTGTCTCCCACAGCGTGTCCTCTAGGACACTGGGGAGCCAAATGTGCCCGGCTCTGCCAGTGTCGCCATGGCGGGACCTGCCACCCCCAGGATGGGAGTTGTTTCTGTCCCCCAGGCTGGACTGGACATCTCTGCTCGGAAGGTACCAACAGAAAGGGAGCTCCATGCCCCTGCCCCTCAAGTCAGCCCTAGTCCAAGGAGGGACAGCCGTTTCCTGGCCCCTCAGATGCCCGCCTGTCTCCTCGGCTCTCTCCTAGGCTGTTCTCCAGGGATGTTTGGTGCCAATTGCTCCCAACCATGCCAGTGTGGTTCCGGAGAGAGGTGCCACCCAGAGACTGGGGCCTGTGTGTGTCCGCCAGGGCACAGCGGTGCCCCCTGCAGGATTGGTGAGTTCTCTAGCCCCCACCCCCACCACTGTCCTCAGGGAACCACGATACAGTACGGGCTCAGGTCTCTGCTAGGACCTAGTCCCCTTGTACCACCCTGCCTCCCTACTGGGGCCTCTTTCATACATGCATCCCAAGCTCACCAACAGAGCCAGGATGCTGACCTGAGTGACCACCCCATCCCACGTAGGAAGCCAGGAGCCGTTCACTATGATGCCTACCTCTCCAGTGGCCTATAACTCATTGGGGGCAGTGATTGGCATCGCAGTGCTGGGCTCCCTGGTGGTGGCCCTGGTGGCACTGTTCATTGGTTACCGCCATTGGCAAAAAGGCAAGGAGCACCAGCACCTGGCGGTGGCCTACAGCAGTGGGCGACTGGACAGCTCTGAGTACGTCATGCCAGGTAAGCTGGCCTAGGGCCGGGGACACACATGAATGGCTGTGTCTTGGGCACAGGGCAGATGGGGTGCGGGGCTCCTGCAACCATCCCTGGATCTGGGAGATGGGAAGTGGGGAGTTGGAGAGAGGAAGGGAGGACAGAGAGGGTGTGTCCTGGGCCCAGGTCTGTCTCCAACTGGGCAGGTTGCCCTGCGCTGTGTCTTGTCTGTGCAGATGTCCCTTCCAGCTTCAGTCACTACTACTCCAACCCCAGCTATCACACCCTGTCACAGTGCTCACCTAACCCGCCACCCCCGAACAAGGTCAGTGCTGGGGGCGGGGATGCACTGTGGATGCACAGGGGTTC